AAATTATTTTAGATAAGGAAAATAAAGAGTTCAAAATTATTTTTGAAGAGATATTATCTTATGTCTTTATCTATAAGAGTTTTAATTTAATTAATTGAGATTATTTTGATAACGAGAGTTGTTGATAAAAATAATATTTTTTAGTTTAGTGATTATAAATAATTATTTGAATTTCAAGAGAGGAATTATTAATGGTGGATTAACGGGCTTTTACTAATGGGTGATGCGAGAGCTTGAGTTTAGTGTTCCTTATTTATAAATTATTAGTCTAGAGTTTTCTCTCATGATTAACACCCATCCTTGTCCCCTGAAGATGAAAGAGTGACTCATCATTGAGAGAGAACAACAACAAAACATGAGAGAAGAGAGAAAATCAATTGTCCAATTCACATATCCATTAGGCAATGATTTTCAAATTGCAACTAGAGATTCGTTTACCATTAGATCAGGTTTTAGTCGATGGGTTTGTAAGATGTTATTCTTCATTTTCAACATTGGATTGTCTAAGAGAGGTTTGGAGTGGGAGCAAAGCGTTTCACAATGGAACTTTTCATCCTTTTGCTTCTTATTGAGGAGGGTGAACTAAAAGTAATTAAAGATGAGTTTGAAGATTTACACCCAACGTCTAACATTCATCAAGGTAAACTGGGAGTGAGAACTTCACTATGAGTATGGGTTATCTGTTAGTTAGCGGGATTGACCCTAATCCTGTTGTTTGTGTTTGATTTGAATACACGAGGGATCAAATCCAAATTTGATTGTGATATGTATTTGTTGTTCGTTCGATTTACAATTGCATTGTTTTGATATACTTGTATTTATGATATATTAATTTGTCTCTATTTGTGATTCTGTCGTTTGTGAATTCCCTATTATTCTAAATACATTAATAAGTTGTGATTATGTTTTTGATTCCTATAATTACCTATAATGGTGAATTTGTGAGTGTATGTGGGTTTTTAGAAGAACCTTAAGTGAGAGTACAAATCAAATTACCAGAAAAATAATTATGAATAGGAAACCCTTAGAATAAGAACAAATTAATTAGATTGTAGATATGCTTTTTCTAAAATGAATTCGTAAAATTTGTGAGACTCAATTTGAAAATGACTTGCAAATTACGCAAATTAGACATTTCTCTCTTGTCGCATCTCTTCACGTTTTGCCATTGCATTTTTTCTCTTGTCACGTTTCACCACCGTGCTTTTTCTCTCTTGCCAAACCAACAACATCAAATAACACTAACATCATACACAAAATGCACAAAAAAGAGAATGAGAATGAACCTGAGAGTGTAAGAACAAACAAACGATTGTTAAAATGAGAACGAAAAGGAGAAGAGTACTTGAAAGAATGGAGGGTTTTGTTGGAAATTGACTCAGCGATCTTTGGTGCCATAAAAAATTGCCACAATGGTATACAAATGCTTATTGCCAAAAATTATCTCTGTCACTTGAATGAAGAAAAAGATGAAATAGTGAAGCACGAACTCACAATGTTAGTAATATAAAGACATTATATGGAAGGTGACAATTTACTTGTCATAGAATTTTTTTTTTCTATGATTGATAAGTCAACACCAATCATAGAAAGGTTGGAGCCAAATGTTAACTAACACATTTTATGGCGGGTGTTGACTTAACTGTTTTGACATATTTAAAAGTATGTTACTATGCCACTTTCTATGTTGTGTGAACAACACCCGACATATTACATGCATCATAAAATTTTACTTTCACTAGTGCGAGTTTGGTCACATTAGGCATAAGGCTTTAGGGGCTCCATATTGTAAATTCGTTGGGTGCAAGGAGAGTCATGCTAGACATGATTCATCTAGACTATGTTGGGTGTAGGGTAACCCACTAGATGCTACCTTGTACTTGAAATTGAGATGCTTAAATTTGCTTAGGAAATATGAATAAATTTGATTGGAAAACCTTATGACCTAATTGAGTATGATAAATATAGTAGACATAATTGAGAATATTATTTGGAACTTTGACGAGTTAATGTATGTGTTTGAATTAAAGTGAGATGTGATCCATGTGAGAAAATTGTGATAAACCATGTGAAAGTTTGGGTGAATAGTTTGACAGGGATGTGACTAG